TCTCTGAATCATAGTTTAAAAAAAAAAATCAAACGGAAAGAAAAAAAATCATTCTTTGTCATTTGTCTGCTCTAAAAATTAGAGCAGAGTTACCACACTTGGGTAAATTAAGATGAAATTAGCTTATTTAAAAATTTTACCATTTTTGATTTATTTTTCCAGATGAAATACTAGTCAAACTTTTTTTTTTTTCGTTTTTAGAATATGGAATTTTTGACCCCACATCAAGCAGCTTCACCTCAGGTGCCTTGCTCCTGGTGTCCCAACCACCCTTTCTTCCCTGTGTCTGTCTGCCAGACTGGTGTCATGGAGAGAATTATTTCATGTCGCTATCCTGTGTCTCAGCAGTTGGCATCTATGCTCCACTGAGTTAAGATCTCCTGGAGCCTTCTGTATGAGGCGAGAGCCCCTACTTCTTACCTTCCTCATCGCTTCTGTATTTATAGGTCAGGATAAGCAGCACTAGCTGCTGTAACAAACAAGCCCAACTCTCAGGGGCCGAGTAGCTGTCAGCCAGCAGACTCTCCTCCACACGGTCACTCAGGGACCCAGGCTCCCTGCATCCTGTGGCTCCGCCTTCCTTTCTGTCCTTGGCGTCCTCTCCACTTGGCCTGTGGATGGAGAAGAGATGCAAGAGAAGGTCTATAGGAATAGTACATGTTCGACCCCCTCCCCCGCCATGCCGGGGGTCAGAACTCAATCACATGACTGGCCAGAAGCCTGGGGAATACAGTACAGCACTGTCCCCTGGAAAAAGACTCGAAAACCAGGGAGCATTAGCAGTGTCACCACACTCCCTACTCATTTCCTCTTCTTTGGGGCCACCTCCCCGTCCTCGTTTATCTCCGCATGGTGTATCTGGCTAAGGCACCGTGTTTCCCACTATGTAGCAGATAATCCTTGCCTCTTACTAAGCCTCATAGAGACAGTTTGCCAACTTACTGATCCTTGCTTTAGAAAAGCCTGCGTGTCACAAAGGTTCTGTAAGTTATGTGAGCAGACATGTTCACTTTCGTGCTCCATGAGGTCGTGTGTATGTGTGCAAAATATTCATCCATCCTGAGCTGAATATAAACAACCTAGCTAGTTGCAGAGAGACATGTTCTGGTTTGAGAATCCATCCATCCATCCACCCATCCACTCACCTATCCATCTATCCATCCATCCACCATCCATCCATCTATCTATCTACCCACTTACCCATTCATCCATCCATCCACCTACCCATCCATCCATCCATCTATCCACCCACCTACCCATTCATCCATCCATCCACCTACCCATCCATCCATACACCTACCCATCTGTCCATCCATCCATCTGTCCATCCGTCCATCCATCCATCCATCCATCTATCCACCCACCTACCTATCCATCCATCCACCTACCCATCCATCCATCCATCCATCTGTCCATCCGTCCATCCATCCATCCATCCATCTATCCACCCACCTACCTATCCATCCATCCACCTACCCATCCATCCATCCACCTACCCAAACAGTTCACACAGGCACCATGTACGAGCACTGTGGAAAGTGCTGAGCAGAAAGAAACAATCAAGTATAAGGCTCACTCTCTGCCTTTGAGATGTTTATAATCCAGATGGGGAAATAAGAACTACACACACACACACCTGGCCTCAGGTGCCGGGCCACAGGTGTGCAGACAAGCAGGAACCGCCGGGCCGGGGCAGCGCAGCCCGCTCGGCACCTCCCCTCCCCCTCCCTGCGCGTGCACACGGGGCACCCGTCCTTATCCCTTATCGTAGGCGCTGTCTCCCCGCCCCCTCCACCGATTGTCCTTTCTTCTCCCCGTCCTCAACACGGGTCCCTCCGGCGTTTTCCCTTGCATATCCTTCCCCCACCCCCACTCTCCCCTCTTCACACGCTTCCCTTTATAAAGTACCCTTGAGCTGGGGCTGGCCCAGGGCCTTAGCACCATCAGTGACCTCTGCAGAAACGCCTTTCCTCAGGCTGTTCTCGGCCTTGCACCCCTAAGTCCCCTCCGAAGAAGCTGCCTCGGCCCCTGCCCTCCGCCCCATCGAAAGCAGCTCCATCCTTGTGGCTCTCTGTCTAATCATCCCGTTTTATTTGTATAATATTAACTCACTGAAATTCTCCCGTTTAGTTATTTTCTCTCCCGACACCAGACTGAACCCCACAAGCATGGGGACCACGTCTGACTTGTCCTGGCTGTATCTGCAGTGCCCGCCCTACAGTGGGTGCTTAATGAATCACTGCTGACTGAAGGGATGGTAGACAGGAAGCCCCTCTCCCTGTCCCTCACATCTCAGGATTGCACGGGGAGCATCACTGAGCCCTCCCCATGCCCCACGACCAGGACTGGTACCCAGAGTGCCCCCCAACCCGGATCCCCGGCATCATGCCAGGGGCCCAGAGCCTAGAGCCTCTCGTTTGCTTTCTACTCAGCATCCTTTGTCTTCACGTGCAGCCGGAAGCCACACAACCAGAGCACCTGCCCAGACTTGGGTCTTCCTTGAGCGATGAACAGCAACGGTATTTGTCTGCCGCCCTCTGCGGCGCGTGCGCTCTGGAGCACTGGCCGGGGGTGTGTCCTGGTGGCTGTGCTCACCTGCCCTGGCCGCTTCCTCTGGCTCTCACCGGGCCAGACTTGCTCGTATGTCACGTCGAATGTGCACCGATGTCCTGTCTGCCTCTTTATGCAGATGCGGCTCAAGATGGCCCCTCAGTTAATGAGCACTCACCATAATGACCCTTGAAGAGGGTCATTTTTTTTTTCTTTTTTTCAAAGGACTTCTTTTTTTCTGGTATGAACTCTGTCATCTCCCAAATCAAAAAATGGTATTTTGGCCTTCTGGGTTCGGGAGGACGTTCTCACCCATTTATGTGACATCATGGCTTCCGGTCAGAGAAGATCACTTGAAACCAGTTTGGACGGGGGGCCGCATTCGGAGGACCCCAAGACATGTTACTCTGTAGAGATTTGCCCAGCATGAGGCACGAGGAAAAAGCGGCTTCCACAGCTTTCCATCCACGGTGTGTGGCCCCGGTGACGCGTGTGTCAGGGCCTAAAGGTATTCGTGTTTAACTTGCCGTGCAGCTTGAGAGCAGAACGAGGAACCCCTAAAAAACTGAAAAACGGTAAAGAAAGTGGTAGGGAAAATCGACTGTGTTACAGGAGATTTATAGAAGCCAACTCAGAGATTCGTCTTCCCCAGCCTTCATCCGCCACCCACGGCTGCCGACGTCGGCAAACTTTGTCTATAAAAGACCAGATGGGAAATATTTTAGGCCCTGCAGGCCACGTGGTCTCTGTTGCCGGGGAAAGACATAATCATCGCAGCATCTGAGGCCACGAACCGCGCGGAGCCCTCCGCTGATGAATCAACCAGGGTTTGTAGAGGTTAAGTCTGGGCAGGCAACAGCATATTCCCGTGGTCTCGAAATATCTCCCCACAGATTCCTGATGAATTACAAAGGCAAAGATACCCCTACCACGAAGAAACGTGGTGGACGCACCCTCAACCAAGTGACGAGACGTGAGCACGATCAATAACGCGAGACGCCGACGGGCTCTGCGTCCTGCTGCCAGCGCCAGGACACCGACCCCGTAAAGCTCCTCGGTCGGGTCACGGGGAAGCAATCAGGCAAATAGATGGTGGCGCTTTCTATAGAACTACTGGGACGAACTCTATTAAAACGGTCGGTGTCCACGACCACCAAGGCATGGACGATTCTAGATCGAAGGAGACGAAAGATGAACAGCTATGGAGGGTGCGAGGTGACTCACACCCTCGTCCGAAAATGATCGAAGCTTCTAAAGGGTCAGAGGTGTCAGCGCCCTCGCCGGCTAAGAAGTGAATCTGCCACAGTCCCCCAGATGCCAGCAAAGACACGAGACTCCTCGGGGTCAGGGCCGAAGGACGTTGTTACTCACAGACACGGCAGCAGCCAGCATCAGCGTTTTCTCCCGAGCCCCGTTTCCCTCAGGGCTGCTTGAAGAAGGCCAGGTGACACCTGTGCAAGCGATGGCTCGCTTTATAGGAGAGGAAGCCAGAGTTTAGGAAACCTGAACCTTTTACCATGGGCAGTAAGGCTGCCTGATCTTTTTCCCAGAGAGACATTATCTATTTTCATATCGGATGAGAAGCACGCCTATCTTTTGCTTTGAAGGGACACAGTATCTCTACCTTTTGGGGTCATATTCTTTATAGATGTCCTTGAAATAAGAGTCAAGGCAGAGGGCAGCCTCTGTTTGCAAAACACAATGCAAAACCCATGGAGAATCGTCTCTCGACAATGACAGCTAAGTGTGACGTGTGCCCTGGAGTGAGAAAGAAAACTTTCAAGGACGTTATTGGGACAATCGGGGGCATTGCTCTGAAACAGACATTCTGTGATATTACCGTACCGATGTTCTATTCCCTTGCTGCCGCCGCCCTGCTGGGGTTCTGTGGCAGATCATCAGAGATGCCCCTGAAGTATTTGGGGGTTAAGGGTCGTGGTGTCCGCCACCAATTTTTAAATGGTCCAGCAAACAGACAACACGATAGATGTCACTCAGAGGGCTGGGGGAGGCAGTTTGAGAGTGGCCAGACGTGTCAAAGCGCTAACAATTGCAGTATGGAGGTGAAGGGTGTTTGGGTTTTCATTATATTATTCTGTTGACTTTACCAAACAGAAATGAGGGCAGGCTGGGGGGCCGGCTTCTCCCAAAGCAGGCACCTGGCATGGGGCGACCTTCTTCTGACTTTACCAACTGTGTTTTGACGACACCTTGTCACTGACTTTATCCTCGCCCTGCCTTAATTGAGTGCTCTGAGGACATAAATACGTTTTCTGTTTACTCAAGCTTGGGAGAAGCTGGCAGAAAAGGCCTTTTCAGCTAAAAGCTCCTTGAACCCCCGAAGGTGTGAACCAGCAAGTTAACAGCCTCGAAAACCCTTTCAGCTGTGGACGCCTTCGCCTGTGGCTGTGGAGCGATGCCATCGACCCCATTCTGTAGGGAAGAGAGAAAAGCATGGGGCCTGCAGGCGGACCCTGAAAGCAGAGTTTTAATCATTTTGCTCAAAGCTTGGGGATCCTGAGGCCGCTCCAGACACACCCATTGAGATGTCAGCAGAACACATCTCCGGGTCCAAATGCAGCCCGGATCCACTGTGTCCCCACTTTCCTCTCGTAGTGGGGCAGGTCGTCAAGAACCGGTCTTAGGAGTGGGCGCTGGCCCCCGCCCTCTGGGCACAGGCAGTGAGGCCGGAGAGCAGGCCCTGACCCCCACACAGACAGCTGCCCCGCGAAGACAGAGCTGCAGGCCCAGAGGGGACGCGGCTAAAAATGAAGAGGTGAGTCATTGTTGAAGCTATGTCCTGGACGCCGTCTGTGGCTCACGCTGGGGACTGGGGACTGGCAGGAGGGCAGCCACCGGCCAGGCCCAGGGCCCGGCCTGCTGAGGACGCACAGCCCAATGTCATGGGTATCCAGCACCGGGCCTTTCCCTTCAAACGGGCGTCACTGGATCACATGCGCTGGTGAGCAAACCCAGGTGGAGCTGTCAGGGGCTTATGATGAAAATGCATGTCTCCCCACACCCTTCTCTCGGCCACCGGGAGCCCCACTTTAAGCTCTGGTGGC